GTGTGTTTTTAAAAAAAGTTAAAGTGGATAGAGAGAAATACTTTTAACTGATGGTATATGGAGGGGATTATAATCAATGTAATGAAACAAGTTTTATGAATTGTTGAATGTGAAACTGATGATGTGCCCTGTAAACTTTCACTCAATCCACAATAAAAACCTTAAAATAAAATAAAACCATAGCCAACTGACCAGTAGCCTTTGCTGCACAGGGCTGTGTGCATGCCCAGTAGATACCTCCAGCAGTGCGTGGAGGTGTCCACTCGCTCAGGCCCCCTTTCTAGTCATCACCATGGAGGTGCACAGATAGATATTGAGAAGTTAATGGGAAAAAGATTGTCCCCTGTTTTTATCTCTGAAGGTCAGTTAGGTATCTGCATGTGCACAGCATAATTCTTGAAATAGCTGAGTGCTTGTGTGTAGTAGTTGGGGTTGGCTCTTGCCTTTTATGTTGGGGTTTTACAGAGTGTTTATACAGTTTGTCTGTATGGCCAGACCTGCTTTTTTCTTGCTGGAGAGGCAGGAATAAAGGGTCCCACCCAGGTCAACTTTAGGGCTGGGTCCCAGAGTCAGGTGTCATAAGCAGTCGCCAAAGGATCAACCTTTGGGGCTTCTCCTCTCTGTGCTGTGGGAAAACTGTGGGCTCAATGCTGGACCCCTTTGGGGGTGCACACCCACCCACCTGAAGGTGTCCAGGCTGGGCAGAGAGAGCGCAACAGGGGAGTGCAGGAAGAAATGTGTAGAATCCCCCACACCTTTTATTGCAAATGTCACTGCATGGGTTTTAGCACTGTATCACTGTGTTAGTCTAGCTGTGGCCCCTCCCTCTGAACTCAGCCTGGGTGGGAGTGGCCTCAGGGAGAGTCCTGGCTCCCGATCAATTCTGAAATCACAATTATTTTCCTTTATACAGTGATTTTTCCACCGGTGGATGTGGGAAACTGATTATACTAGATCCAGAGCTCTGGAGCTGCTCCGTGAAAGCACTTTCTCTGGGTTTTCTGCACCTCCCCCATGGAGCCTGTCCTACCTGACTCTGCGTCTCCCACCTCCAAAACTGGAAGTCAATCCGTGATATCTTTAAAATTCTTCTCCAATACCATAACTCAAATGCATAAATTCTTCTACAGTCTTCCTTATTCATGTCCAACTTCGACACTGTTGAAAATACCATGGCTTGAGTCAGGTACATTTTAGTCCTCAAACTGACATCTTTGCTCTTCAACACTTTAAAAAGATGTTTTGCAACAGATCTGCCTAATGCAATATGTCGTTTTATTTCTTGACTGCTGCTTGTGTCATGAATGTTGATTGTGGATCCAAGCAAAATGACGTTTTTTGACAACTTCAATCTTTTCACCATCTATCATGATGTTATTTACTGGTCTAGTAGTGAGAATTTTTATTTTCTTTACATTGAGGTGCAACCCATCCTAAAGGCTAGTGTCTTTGATATTCATCAATTAGCATTTTAAATCCTCATAAATACTTGTTTTCAGCAAGCAAGATTGTATTATCTGCATATTGCTGATTGTTAATTAATCTTCCTTCAACCCTGATGCCACATTCTTCTTCAGATAATCCAGCTTCTTGAATTATTTGCTCAATGTACAGATTGAATAAGTATGGTGAAAGAATGCAACCCTGGCCACACCTTTCCTGATTTTAAATCATTCAGTGTCCCCTTGTCCTGTTTGACAATTTCTTCTTGGCTCATGAGCACAATTAAGTGTTCTGGAATACTCATTCTCCATAATGAGTTGTCCATAGCTTGTCATAATCCACACAGTTGAAAACCTTTGCATAGTCAATAAAGCACAGGTAACATCTTTTGGGTATTCGCTGACATCAGCAATGATATCCCTCATTCCACATCTTCTGAATCCAGCTTGAACCTCTGATAATTCCCTGCCAATGCACTGTTGTAGCCATTTAAAAATTATCTTTAGTAAAATTTTACTCATATGTGATATTAATGATATCATCCAGTGATTTCTGCATCCCACTGGGTCACCTCTCTTTGGAATTGGCATGGATCTCTCCCAATCAGTTGGCCAGGTAGAGGTCTGCTAAATTTCTTAGCATTGACTAGTGAGTGCCTCCAGTGCTACATCGGTTTGTTGAAAGATTTGAATTTGTAGTCTGTCAATTCCTGAAGCCTTGTTCTTTGCCAGTGACTTCAGTGCACCTTGGATTTCTTCCTTCAGTACTATTGGTTCTGATCATATGCTACCTCTTGAAATGGTTAAGTATCAGCCATTGCTTTTTGGAACAGTGACTCTGTGTATGCTTTCCATCTTCTTTTGATGCTTTCTACATCATTCAGCATTTTGCTCAAAGAATCCTTCAGTATTGCAAGTCAAGGATTAAATATCCTCAGTTCTTTCAACTTGAGAAATTCTGAGCATGTTCTTTCCTTTTGGTTTTCTAATTCCAAATCTTTGCACATTTCATTTCTTTTATTTTCTTTCCTTTTTTTTTTTTTGCACATTTCATTATATTATTTGACTTTGTCTTCTCAAGCTGATCTTTGAAGTTTTCTGTTCAGCTCTTTTACCTCCTTATGTTTTCCATTTGCTTTATCATCTCTCTGCTGGAGAGCAAGTTTCAGAGTCTCTTCAGATATTAATTTTGGCCTTTTCTTTCTTCTTTGTCTTCTTAATTACCTTTTGCATTCTTTCTGTATGATGTTCTTGATATAATCCCACAACTCTGGGTTTTCGATCATTAGTGTCTAATGCATCAAATCTGTTCGTGAAATGATCTCTAAATTCAAGTAGGAAATGTTCAGCATCATATTATGGCTCTCATGAACTTGTTTTAATTTCATCAGCTTCAGCCTAAACTTGCACATGAGCAGTTGATGGTCTGTTCCACCATCTGCCCCTGACCTTGTTTTAGCTGATGATATGGAGCTTTTCCACCACGTCTTTTCACAGATGTAGTCAATTTGATTTCTGTGTATTCCACCTTGTGAGGTCCATGTGTATAGTCATCTTTTATGTTGCTTAAAAAAGGTATTTACAGTGAAGTCATTGGCCTTACAAATTCTGTTGTGTGATCGCAGCATCATTTCTATCACCAAGATGCTAGGTATTAAGTAAATATTTGAAAAGTTACTGGATTCTAAGATTCTCAGCACCTAATTTTACTAGAATTTACAGCAATGATCTGGATATAGTTAGCACTGCATCTTTTTATTTATATAATTTTAGCTTTATATTGTGAGTTACCTGAATGTTTCCAGAGCAAATCAGTTTTCCATTCAGCAGTTCATACACATTTTATTTCATCTCATTGATTGCAATCTCAACAAGGTAGCATCACTTACCTACACCCTACCTGCCCTTCCTCTTTCCATTAGTCCTTCTTTCCTAATCCTTCTGAACTTTGTTCTTGGGTAAATGCTTCCCTTTTCACAAATCTCATGTAGTTGATTATTTTAAGGAATATGTACTTCCCTAGTGGTATTAGTCCCCTTATAAGCCTATTATTTGGCTGAAACTTGAGTTGTGGTGGTGAGTTCGGTTCTAGACCTGAAGGGTGATTAAAAGCCATAATGTTAGGGGTTCCTCCAGTGTCTATAAGACCAGTAAGCCTGTTTTGTGTGTGTGATTTTGAGTTTTGTTCCACTTTCTTCTCTTTATCTAATGTGATCCCTTTCTGAGCAGTTGGTAGAGGTAGCCAGCACTGTCTAATTCTTTTTGTCTCAGGGATAGGGAGACTGATGTGTACATGGCCTGTTACTAGTCCATTGGATTAACTGTTCTATGCCTCTTTAACTTTTTTCACTCCCCTTTTCTATTGACAGGGAGGCCAACAGTTGCACCTTAAATGGCCATTTATGAGCTTTTAAACTCAGCCATTACTCACCAAAGATGTAGAATGTTATCTTTGTGGGCTATGTTATGCCAGTTAACCTAGTGTTCCCTGATACCAAGACCATGAATCCCCAGGCCCACTGGGTCATTCCCTCAAGGTGTTTGGTTATGTTTGTTTAAGAAGGTTTCATAAGTTTGCTCCCTATATGCTCCATCCACCACATTCATGGACATATTTTGCAGCATAGATACACATGTACAAATATCCTCTGTCAAAGCTAGATATATTCATGGGTGTGGTCCTCTCTTCCTCCCACAGCCATTCAGACTGTATGTCTATCCATGCAGCCACTCATAGATCACCATTACTGCAGGATTGTGTATATAATAGCATTACCTCTGTTGCCTTTAACTCTTGCGTTCTTCCCAGTGTCTCCCCATTGTCTCATTTTTCACTGAGCTCCCCCTTATTGTATTTTGTCTTCCCCTTCACCAGAGTTACCAGGTGTAAGAAAGGAAAGGAGGGTAAATACTATCTAGACAGTAGACACATCCTAGTACTGCATCTTCTCACTGACTCCCACAGCTGCATCCCAGGGCTGATTTCCTGCTAATTCAGCTCCTTTCTTCTTACATTCCCTGCTACAGCCTATGGGATCAGAACGGACGGAAATGCGAAAACGGCAGATGTCAACAGCCCAGGAGACACCAGAAACTGCTCCAGGACAGCATGCTGGAGGAAATCGTGGCTCCAATGCCTGCTGCTTCTGCTGGTGCTGCTGCTGTAGCTGTTCTTGGTAAGATGTGGGCTTTTTATCAACACACTTCTGATGGGAAGACAGTACTCCTATGTAGTGCTGGTTTAGGGTTAATTCAACAAGTGGTCTTTTAGCAACTACTGCGTGCCTGAGGAGTCTTTGTGTGGCACTGCAGGTTAATGCACTGGACTACAAGGTCGGTTTGAACCGCATGGTCTACAATTGAAGCTCATCAGCTGCTCCTCAGAAACCCCTATACAGGGTCGCTATGAGTCGAAACTGATCCCACCACACTTCCCAAAAACAACACATATGCCTGAGTGTTACAAACAGTTAATGAGCTCAGCTGCTACCCAGAAGGTTGGAGGTTCAAGTTCACCCAAAGAGATATCTCAGAAGAAATATTTAGTGATCTACTTCCAAAAATAATCAGCGATTTAGAATCCTACTCTGATACTCATGAGTCACCTTGACTCAGAGCCAACTTGGACTGCAACTGATTTTACATATGCTCACATTGATTTGATGTTTGTAAAGGACACTCCCCTCCAAAAGGATAAATAAAGTAGAGAATGCATTCTAGTACTGGAGGAATTTATCTTCAAATCCGTGCTATCAGGCAAGCATACTTTAAATAACTAAGGGACGATATAATGCCATTTAGGATCTAATACTAACAGGGTAGAAACAGTGCCTGGAAAGTTAGAAAAGGGTGAACTCTGAGAACTATGTGGTTGGTAATGAAGGCATTGTGGAGGAACAGGATTTGAGATGGGTCTGAAGGCTGAATTATGAAGTAGAGACAGCCTGAATGTCTTCTAGTGCTCCTGTTTTATTAATTTTATTTATTAATAAAGAGAAATGTCAAAATATGTGCTTAAAATGAAAAAAAGAAATATAAAACCATAGACTAGTTCACTGGGTAGAGGAAGATAACCAATATCAGGAAAGTCTGGTCAGCTCCTGCTTGACTTGAGCTCATGCTAATTCCTAAAAAATACTATCTAGTGGAAGTTCTAGTAGCGTAGTGGTTACAAATCAGGCTGTGAACTGCAAGGTCAGCAGTTCAAAACTACCAGCTGTTCTGTGGGAGAAAGATGAGGCTTTCTGCTCCTGTAAAGATTTACAGCCTCGGAAACCTTGTACAGGGTCACTATGAGTCGGAACCGACTCCATGGCACACAGCAGCAGCAGCAGCAGTGGAAGAGGGGCACAGCAGTAGGAGTACCCAGGGACTAAAAGAATCATGGTGCTAAGAGGGTCCATCCACTGATGTTGTGAAGTGCCATCTAGTCAGTTCCAGCCCATAGCGACCCTGTATAGGGTTTCAAAGGAGCAGCTGGTGAGCTTGAACTGCCGACCTTGCAGTTCAAATGGCTTTGCAGTCTGATGCATTAACCCACAGTGCCCCACCAGGCTGGTAGGAGACTGGCTTATAGAATGTGCCCTTTGGGCATCCACTGATAGCAAGTGGGAATCTGGGAAACATAGTGCCACTATGAGTCGGAACCCATTCAAGGGCATCTAACAAAAACAAGAGGTGAGAAATGGCAAGTCTGACATTCAAGGCAAGACTTCAGTCTCAAGTAGGAATAGATATGACTAGTCAGGAAATGGAAAGCAAGGCTCAGGTGATGGCTAAGACACATGTGGTCATACAGGACCCACTCCAGATATGAAGATACCACCAGTGGCCGACAGACTAAAATTGGCCCTTTCCCTTTGCTAGTGAATTTCAGTGCTAAAGGACAATAGTCTGAGTTAGGGGCAAGCATTTCCTAGTGTTGATGAGACCCCCAGATAGTCTCAAGATTGGAGGCTGAAACCATGGCTTGAAGAAAGTTTTGTACTAGTGGTTTAAGAACAGCATGTGAGGACAAGTCCTAAAGGATACTCCTCCCATAAAATGGGATAATGTTCAAGAGAGCAAGATATGGGGCTGGGAGCCACATATCTGGATTTAGGATGAATCAGGAACTGGATGGAATTGAGACTGAAGCCTGAGGTATTGGCTGCTATAGGCAATCAGGACTGCAAAAGGCAAGAGCCACCCATATAAGTATTCCATTTGGATATAATTGTGGTTCATTGCTCAATTTTTCAAGACGTTCAGAAGCATGTTCTAATCTAGACTATTATTTTTACTATGTCTTTCTAAGAGCTAAATATGTGGTAATTTCTGTAAACAGTTCTCAAAATTCAGCCTTTTGTCTGTTTTATTTTTAAGACTTCAACAAAATAAATTTCTTCCTGTCTTGGGAGTGTGGGATTGAGATGTAGTGGGGATATGGTGAACACAAACAAATCCTAGGGGACAAAGAAATTTATTTTGAATGACATGAGTCACAGTTGGCAAGATTCTTCCAGACCATAGCACTTAGTGTTCTGACAGGGCAAGGAAATCATTCTTTATTTTAGAACCAAATAGAATTCATATATGGTACAGTAGAATAAGCACTGGCCTGCTAACTGCAGGGTCTGCGGTTCAAACCCACCAGCTGTTCTTTGGAGACCCTATACAGAGTTGCTATGAGTTGTAACCGACCCAATAACAATAACAACAACAGTTGCCTTTTTATAAAATATATCAATATATTAATTTTTTTTTACTTTCATTATGTAAAAATTCAAACATACACAATAGAATAATGAACCTCCATGTACTCATCATTCAGCCATGATAACTATCAACCCATCACTAGTCTACCTCATTCTTCCCCCCACTATATTATTTTAAAGCAAATCTCAGTCTTTATATCAATTAATCTTTGTATCTATCTGTGGTGCCTTGATTTTACCTGACATGGCTTTTTCATCCAAAGTCTTCTTAAATACCACCAAGTGATTGGATGAGACCGTGAAAATAAGGTATACAGGACTGTAAGGCTAAAATTGGTTAGTTTTGCCCTCCAGCAAGGTTTATAAGGAACTGCCTGAGAAGTAGAGACAGTAGATCTCAGGATCATCAAGAAGAAAGATGATGAGTAGAGTGTGAGACCCCTACCTAGAGAAACAGTGATGGCAGAGGCAATGGCTTAGGTGGCATACAGAGACAAAGCAGCTAAGGGTGCTAGACCCATGGACTGAGTAAAGTTGAGTACCTATGAGTAGGAGACTGGCTTGTAGAACGTGCCCTTTGAGCATTCACAGACTGGCTAAAAGAGCTTTGTTACACTTGCATGAGCAAGGCAAAGGCCAAAGGGCCGAATGGCTGAGAGGCCACAATATAAAGAAAACCCCAGAAAAACCTGTGCTTTTTTAAAAACCTTAATATGTTTGTATTTTCTATTCACATAGTTCTGGTGTGGCGCTGTAGGATAAGCACTGGACTGTGAAGTACAAGGTCGGCAGTTCAAACCCACCAGCTGCTCCTCAGAAACCCTATACAGTAAACCCTAGTCAATAAACAGAAGAATACCTAGTCAAAGGATGATCACCTCATCCCATCTTGCCCAGACTTTCTTAGTTTTAGCCTTGAAAAGATTCACACATCAGGAGACCCTTGAGTACAAGGATGGTTGATCATTTTACCTTGTATATATATAAAATAGATTTATTTCCCTATATTTCACCATAAACAAAAATGAATCCTTCCTCCCCAAAGCAAAGGGCAATTCTAGGTGATTTAAAGCTCTAAATGTTTTAATCAAGATGAAAATGTAGGATAATATCTTTATGGCCTTGATGTTGGAAAGAATAATCCTATATAAGAAAAAGTAAACTATCACATAATTCACAATAAGACATTAAAAAAAAAAAAAAAGAATAGCAAGCATGGGAGAGAGAAAATTCCCTATGAGGCTTTCTGCTCCCTTAAAGATTTATAGCCTGTACATGTTGGCTATGAATCAGAATTACTTGACCACCCAACCACTAGCACCGTGTTGGTAGATTATATGAGCGTATACATGGAAATTCCAAAAGAATTGTTGCTATAACAGATACAAACACAAAAGAATTCAGTAAAGATCAAGCATATAGACATTGGTGACCACGTTTCTGTCCCTTTGTCATATTCTGGTGACTTGTGCATTGCTGTGATGCTGGAAGCTATGCTACTGGTGTTTCAGATACCAGCAGGTCACCCATGGAGGACAGATTCCAGCAGAGATTCCAGACAATGACAAACTTGGAAGAACGAACAGGGATTAGCTTCTCAGGGATTAGCCTGAGATCCACTTCTAAGGGATTAGCCTCTGAAAACCTCTTGAACAGTAGTAAAACATTATCTGATATGGTGCCAGAAGATGAGCCCCTCAGGTTGGAAGATACTGAAAATATCAATGAGAAACTGTTGCCTCATCAAAGTAGAGTTGACTTTAATTACATGGATGGAGCAAAGCTTTTGGAACCTTCATTTGCTGATGAGGCATGACTCAGAATGAGAAGAAACAGCTGCAAACATCCATTAAAAGTCAAGCTTCAACTTATAATATTGAATGATTCTATGGACACATGTGAGAATGGCATAGGACCAGGCAGTGTTTGGTTCTGTTGGTCATATGGTTGCTATGAGTCAGAACCAACTCGACAGGACCTAACAGCAACATAGGAAAAGTATTGAACTATGCTGGAAGCAGCAAAGAAGATGGGAGCCCTCTGCTAACAGGAACCAGACAAGGATGCCCTTTGTCACCACTCCTATTCAATATTGTGCTGGAAGTCTTAGCAAGAGCTATACGGCAAGACAGGGACATTAAAGGCATCCAAATTGGCAATGAGGAAGTAAAACTCTCTATTTGCAGATGATATGATCCTATACGTAGAAAACCCCAAAGACTCAGTTAAAAAAAAAAGCTACTAGACCACATTGGAACATTCATCAAAGTGGCAGGATATAAGATCAATATAAAATCAGTTGGATTCCTCTATACCAAAAATGACAGTGCTGAAAAGGACATTAGGAAAGTAATACCATTTACAAAACCCACCCAAAGGATGAAATATCTAGGAATCTATGTAACCAGAGAAACAAAGGACTTATACAAAACACCAAAAGAGACCTACAAAAATAGAAGAATGTACCATGCTCCTGGATA